TTCAATATCAATGTGATATGAGAATCTGGGGAGGAAGTTAGAAGCAGGATGGCAGACAAGAGAGTGCAGAGGGCTGGTTTAGCTAATAGAAGCCAGATAATTGTTATAGACAGGCAGAGAGTGTTCTCTGATTTGCAGGCAACAGTTATTCTAATTGATTTCTGCATACTTGTGGATAGGGATCTGCCCTGTCCCATTTATTTTTCTCTTGACAAGTAAAATGTGAAATGTTGCTCCATGCTTTTCTAATTTAAATGTTGCACATGTTGAGAACTGATCTTGCCAGCCATTTTAAGCCTGGCCAAAAACATAACACATTGTTGTTATTAGCCTTCATCATTTGGGTAGAGCCAACATTTTGTTTGGAACTATACAGGAGTATAAATCTCTTTTATAGACTTAAACTATTTCTGCCATAGAGTAGATACAGTGAAAAGGCAGCTAAGTTTCCTTGGTGAGTTGCTTTGTTTGGCCTCATAAGGCTGATTAGGCCTGGGATGCTCATATTAAGATACTTCATGGGAAGGTGCGTTCATGCCTTTGAGGATCTTGTGATTCAGCCAAGGGGGAATAGACATGGCTAAGGCAGTGTGTGAATAGTACGTACAGACATCAGAAGGAGCCTGGAAGAGAAACAGAGCATTACCTCATGGCCACATTTAGGGCTGTGGACAATGTCCTTGCTGCCACATGCACCTCATTCATCCTGCAGGCTGAGTAAACCACCACTCTCACACACGTGTTCTACTATTTTCCACATATACATGCCAGAGGGCAACGATACTTTTAAATGAACTCTCATTTTACAGTGATTATAGCCTTTTGCTGTATTGTGTATTTTCAATCAATTGATACTACATTTATCTTTATAATTCCTATTATGGGCATCTGTGAAAATTTCCCCTGTTAAACGTTGTTTCAGTTACTTGAAGTTTGAAGCTTGCATTGTCTACAACAGTGCTGTTAACTTTCTGGGATACAGGGTGTATCCTCTGCATTGTCCAGTAGGTTAGTCATTAACCACATGCAGCATCTAAGGACTTGAAGCTTAACTAGTGGGACTGAGGAATTGGATTTTTAATTTAATTTAATCTTGATTGATTTAAATTTAAAAAGCCACATACGGTAGATAGAGGCTACCATATTTGACAGTGTAAGTCTGTGTTATCCTATTTAGTAATTCTCACAATCCCAACACACACATTTCCTTTTCCTCACCTATTGCTAATTTATTTTTACTTCTACCCCCAAGTGTGGGTGGCTAATAAGCCCATTTCTACTCAGGCACCCCTTATTTCTGCAGGTTCTTTAGCTAAAGAAGAACTCTTTCATAGACACCTAATAGACGCAGTTAGCAGTCTTTCCTACTCAGAAAAATAAAAGCAGTGGTAGTTTACTTTTTTCTTTTAGTCATCATTTGATTGTCAGCAGCCCTGGAGAGATTTCTGATTTTATTTAGTTTGTTGCAGCATTTAAAGAGATATAAACAATTATTAGAAATTCAGAAACCAAAATCTTATTCTAGGATTTCCATTAGGGCAAGGAATTTTCCATCTATTTTGTTTACCTGATAATTATTAAGAGTAAGAAAGCAAATGGTCTTCCTTCTTTAAGTTACTCTGAACAAGTTCATAGTGCTTTGCAAGTTATAAAGCTTTCTCATGACTCATAACCTTGGGATTTTCCAAGATCATCAAATGCAGTAACGATATACATTGCAATGGCTTCTTTTTTTTTTTATTACAAAGTTTATTTTTACATCATTTTGCACATTTATTTTTTCCATCTCGATTGTAATCCCCATGGGTTTCCCATCACCAAATCACCCCTGTGCCACCACCATAGACCCGTGCGCAATGGCTTCTTTTAAGTAATAAAATCACAAGAGGATAGCTAGAATGGTTGAGCATAAGATCCATCTTTTTTTACTTATATTATGGTTGATAAAGATAGCACTAGTTGGATTTAAAGTTATTATCAAAGTTAGTATTTTTTTCACATTATTTTTGTTCTGTACTGGTTTACAACAAGATGGGGAAGAAAAGCAGTGATTTGTAGCATTCAAAAAGGCATAGGACCAAAAAATTCCTTTGGAACTCCTGTTTGAAGAATTCCTATCAAAATAATAAGTATCTTTCATGTACTGGCCTAGGGAGAAGCTTCTGTGGAGGTTGTTCCGTAAAGGTGGGCCAAGTCTCCCACTATCCTCTGCCCTGAAATGTGAGAGTTGTGTCATGGTTCTTCAGCTACTCTCAGGCTGTCTCCCTGCCTCAACAATGAGGGCTGGAGGTTTTTTAAAAATGAGGATCCTCCCTGGTGGCGCAGTGGATTAAAGCACAGCACTAAGAAGCTTAAGCCTTTTCTGCATGAGTTCGATCCCCGCCTGCCCCGGAAGGTGACCACATGGCGTGGGAGACCTCTCCTGACCCGCCCGCTGCTCCCCTCAGCAGTGGACTTTATCCATCTGCCTGTTCTGCTCCCCACTCTGTCTTTGGTGAATCCTCTCACCCTCCACATCTCTGGCCTGTACTCCAGTTCTGTATGAATAAATCTTTTTTTTTTTTTTTTAAAAGAGACCCAGAGTGAGGGGAGTTTGATTTGTGTTATCCAAATCCTGAATGTGTCTACCCTGCTCCTGTTGGGCAGTACACTTTGACACCAAGCGTGATAACAGAAGAGGAAGCTTCAAGGCAACTGCATTCACATGCCCAAAGTGAATAAAAACCACAGATGAGTGATGACGAAACATCCATAGGTACATATATGTTATATCAGCACCCTCCACTCTAACCATCTTGCATGCATTTCCACTGACTAGTAAATTCACAATTATTTCTGACAATTATTGGTCTCACTTTAATTAGACACATCCTTCCATCATCTGCTAAAGTGGCATTGAATTTATTTTTAGACTGATTTTATTAGAAATTTTAAAAATGGCCTTCCCTAGTGGCACAACAAGTTGGGACACAGTACTGCAAGCGAGCTGCAGCTCTTCAGTGCAAGTTCTAGCCCCAGCCCTGGAGGTGACCATATGGCGCAGCAGACCTCTCCTGACGGCCCGCTGCTCCCCTCAGCAGTGTACTTTGTCAGTCGGCCTGTTCTGCTCCCTACTATGTCTCTAGTGAATCCCTCACCACCCCTGTACCTTTGGCCTGTACCCCAGTTCTGTATGCATAAATAAATAAATCTTTAAAAAAGAGAGAAATTTAAAAATTACGTTTCTTGCAGTAATGTTAAATTACAACGCTATATATGTTTTAGCGGAACAGATTCACCACTCTACAAATGTACCCACGCCACCATCCCTACCACCAAAGTCCCAGTAACCCTCCACCATAGTCCATTGGACCCCTCCCCCATCTTTGCTGCCACCTCCCTACCTTCTCCTTCTGGTAGCTTTAGTTCTAATCAGATATCTTGGGTTTGTCTTGATCTGTTCCTTCATTTTGTTTCTTTGTATTTCACACATGAGAAAAATTATCTGGTATTTGTGTTTCTCATTCTGCCTTATTTCACCTATCATAATCACCTCCAGTTCCCTCCATGTTGGCACAGTGGCAACATTTCATCTTTTTTTATACTTGACAAGTATTTGTGTGTGTGTGTGAGTGAGTGCGTGAGTGTGTGTGTGTGTGTATCATGTGTTCTTTATTCACTCTTTTGTCATTGGGCAGTTAAGTTGTTTCCATACTGTAGCATTGCGAATAGAGCTGCAGTGGACACAGGCGTGCACGGATTCCTTCAAATTAGTGCTTTTGCATTCTTTGGGTAAGCACTAGGTGAGGGATTGCTGAGTCATATAGTAAGTCTTTTATCATCTTTTGAGAAACCTCCATACTGTTTTTCATAGATGCTGGACCAATCTAATAGTGTAGAGTAGGGCTCCTTTTTCTCCATATTCTCACCAACACCTATTGTTTCTGATCTTTTTGTTATGGGCGACTCGCGCAGGTAGGAGGCTTTGCGCAGGTAGGAGGCTGTATCTCGTGGTTTTGATTTACATTTCCCGAAAGATAATTAGCATTGAACATTTTTTGATGTGTCTATTGATCTATATCTTCTCTGGACAAGTGTTTATTTAGGTCTTCTCCTGTCCATTTTTTGATAGGACTATTTGTCTCCTTAAATGATGTCTCCATTTTAAAGGAGATGCACAGGTTGTTGTGATGGTGTTGTTGGTGTATGTGTATGTGTGTTGGAGACAAATCAGGGAGGGTAGATAATGAGGAGTGGAGCCGAGGAAGAACATCAGGCAGCAAAGAGAGGATACCACTTGCAAACATAAAACACTATTCTAAATTTGCTTTTCTTTTATTACATAGTAAGCACAAAAGCACACTTAATATTTAGTCCCCCTCAAGGAATCTTCATTTTTCCCTGTGCTCCCACCTCCTTCATAAAGATAGCAATGAAGAAGACAAACAGAGAGCCCTCCAGTCTTTGAGAAAGTACCTAAAAGAGCTTTGTGTCTTAGCATATGTTCTCCCTTTCCTTGGGTCTTCCTATACTCGGGTCCCTCCCTCCATGCCTTTTTACAGGATTGGGTTTTTGTCCTTTACAGATTTGCATAGAAAAAATAGTGGGCAGTGCTAGACAATCTCAGATATCACTAATGCAATTAGTTTCAACATATAACTTCTTATTCTTCATGTGTCCATTTTATGTATCTTCATTCTGGTTATAAAATTATAGCAAATTATTTTGTCTTCTAAATTTTCCTTTATGGTGTTTATGTCTCTCTATTTCTTTGATTAGAATATTTTACCCTGAGAGCTGCTGATCATCACTTTAGAAAACTAGTACAAAGCTAATCATCTGTCAGCAAACTTTGGATTGCTGAATGTTTTAATAATTGCCTTTCAGTGTAGTAATGAGGTTACAAGTTGGATGAAATACTTGTGAAGGGTGGCGTTAGGGAAATCAACCTCTCTATTTTCAGTATTGGATTCCAAATTGCTATGTATTAACACATCTGTCTCCTATCTTTTTTATTTCAGTATCTACTAGAAATGAAAAGCTTAATCCTACCCCCAGAGCATATCCTGAAGAGAGGGGACAGTGAAGCAATAGCATATGCGTTCTTTCACCTGGCACACTGGAAAAGGGTGGAAGGGGCTTTGAATCTTTTGCATTGTACATGGGAAGGCAGTAAGTAATTTTCTTTCTTTGAAGCATTTCTGTAAGAACATGAAAAGATGCTGAAACCATTTTACCTTGGGTGTTCATGATGAACAATGCAGATGGGTACATCTGTAGCTCTCCTCTGTGATGTTCCATATTGAGAGATTTTACTTAGATGGACTCTCCAGTTCCCTGGGTTGTGTGTGTGTGTGTGGGGGGGGGGGTGTTACTGTGTTGATGCTCTCCACCTCAAAAAAAAACAAAAAAACAAAAAACAAGACTATGCAGTGGCTAGAATGAATTTGGACTATTCTAACATCCGAAATCCCTCTTTGGAGAGCTGAACAGCTACCCACCTCAGTATCAGAGGGATATTTGTCATGGAGTGTGAACTCATGCTGAGGTCTGGCAACCACTTGATGACCTTCCTGGGAGCTTGGCCTAAGAGCCATAGGGGCCTCCTTGGAGAAGCTAGTTGCCAACGAAAAAGCAGCAGCAGTTGTGCTTCAAACCCAGCAGTCATCATTGGCACGTAGTGTATGGTGCAGGTGTAATGTGTGTGCAGGAGTAAACACCTGTCAGATGGATGTGGGGAAACTTCTGAATACACGCCATTGACAGGTGCTGTCATTTTATCTGTGAAGAAGAGATTCAGGGCCCTCCCTAGTGGTGCAACGGGTAAAGGATGCAGCACTGCAAGCTGGCTGCAGTCACTTCAGTGCACGTTTGATCCCCACCACTGAGGTGACCCACATGGTGCAGCAGACCTCTCCTGACCCACCCGCTGCTCCCTTCAGCAGTGTACGTTGTCGATCTGCCTGTTCTGCTCTGTCTCTGGTGAATCCTCTCACTGCCCCTACACCTCTGGTCTGCACCCCAATTCTGTATGCATAAATAAATAAATCTTTAAAAAAAACCAAAAGTTCAAATGTTGGGTGAGATATGCTTGCTGCCCTGTGGAAACTGTAGAAGCATCTAGCAGAGAGAAGTGGCCGGCAGCATGTGACTGCTGATTTTTTTTCCTTAAGGGATAAGTGTATGAGGTGGGGTGCTCAGAGATATCAGGTGGAGAAAACTATGTAGTGGCGCAGCTGGGAGAATGTCAGTTGAGAAAACAGGTACAAAACTGTCAGTTAATAGGCCACATATGTGGTGTTGTCTGTTATTACTAATTTAAGCAAACCAAGTTCAGTTATAGTATGGGCTTGTTTTTTACACCCTCTCCTGGGAAAGCAAAACAGTAAACATTAGGTTTCTGATAATGTTTTTCTTAGTTCTTCCCTCACAAGCAAATGTTATTTCAGTCTTTCTCACTATCTCTGCTTCTTCCATTTTCATTTTGGTAATCTACTCCTGCCTTTTCCTGCTCTTTCCTTACTCACCAGGGATCCAAATTGGTGCAGGAAGTAATCAGGTGGGATGGGTTAAAAATAAGTTCATAACTTGAGAGGCATGGACTTCATCAGTGTTTCCTCCCCTCTCTGTACATATAGTAGCAAGCTTCAGGTGTCCTGAAGCTATAAATCTTAAGACACACTCTCCAGGGCTCTTATAGGGTATATGCACAAAGCCTTTGAGCTTGGACTTGTTGCATTTAAGTTGTTGTATCCAGATGAAACAAATGAAATTTTTCCTTAAACTTGAAAAAGGGTATAAGAGCCCAGCAAAATTGAGCTTGAGTGACATCGCCTGGTGTTAGTGGTGGAAAAATTCAATCAACAAATTAACTTATCAAGTAAGAATATATTTGATTGGCATCTTAGAAATATAGTCCTAGAAGATTATCAGTTGGACCTAAGTGACAAAAATATTCACTGAAAGTTTGGTTTGGAGATTTGTAGCCAGATGTCAGTCACAATAAAAATATACTCTGGATTAGCTGGCAAGAAAAATTAGGTTGTGAGAAATGTAAAGTGACATTTGAGTTTTAGCATCAAACAGGGTAGTGGTATGGCATTGGGAGGATGTAAGTACTTCAAATTAAAAGGGCAGAATGATTTAATAGAATTTAAAAAGAAAAGAAGGCAGATTTCCAGGCACAATGCAATATGGCAAGACAACCAAGGTCAAATTTAAGAACAGAAATTCTTCATTTGTTCCTTACAGATAAATAAAAATCATTCCAGGGAAGTTACACTGCTGGTTAGTTTTCAGAAAGCAATAATACTATTCAGTTTTAGAAAAGAGAAGCATGAAGGTGCTTACTAAGTATAAATACCTTCGGAAAATACGGGTAATTTAGAGAGGGTTTTCCTTTCCACCATTTCATGTGTTCATATGCTCAAATATGAATGGATGATATCTCAGTTATTCAAGAGAGTAACAGATTCACTAACACGAGTGATGTTGATTTCCTGTTATCATTGTTGGTAGAATCAGGGTATAAATCCATGTAAGTTTTTCTTCACATACTAGAATACACATTATGAATAGACTAAGGATACAATCATCTTTGAAACATTTATGTAGAAGACCTCAATTTATATTATATAACTACTTACACTTAGAGGACAGACTTACTCCATCTGGCTCCTTTCTTTTATTTAGAAAATTTTATCATTTTATTTACATTATGTACTTTAAAACATTTTAAATACATAATATGCCCAAATTTATGAAAAATATTAACTTTATATATAAATTAAGGAAAGGGCCTAGAAGTAAATATATCTTTCAGTAGATTTGGGGTGATTTTCTTTTATTTATATTTTCAAATTGTCTATAACAAGTATATATTTTTTCTATTAGCAAAATATGTATGTTTGTATATATGTGAATACACACATAGCGCACATACCTTATAAAGTAATGTCTTGTACACACTTTGAGTCCTCCTCTTTAAAAACGAAGCTATCAGTCTGTCATGGAATTTATAAGAAACTCCAGCTTCAGGCAGTTGTATTCAGTATTCTGACATCACATCTAGATCTGTGTCCATTCCAATTTTAACTGCATGGAGGTTTCAGAACTCCATTTTAAATCAGAAGGCTTGGACTGGAATTCTGACCCAGGTGCCTACAGTTTACTTAACTTACCAGTTTTTGAACACTGTAAAGCAGTGATGATATTAAATACCATGCCTTCCTCCAGGCTGCATTTGCACTGAGGCAGCCACATTGTCTGAGCTGTTCCTCTCCGATTCAGCCAAGCCTCACCTGGACAACCTGGGCTTAAACTCAGGAGACTGCACTTCCTCAAGTTTACCACTGGGTGGTGCCTTTTGACGTCTCCAGCCTCATAACTTAGGCTTTCATCTTTAAACCATTTATTTCTTATTCTGAAACTTAAGGCCATTCCCCAACTTTTTTCCAACTTCCCCTTTTCATTAGCAAGAGAATCCAGGCAGGAAGGTAACTACCTACTTTCACCAGGTTTTGTGTTAAAAAAGATTTTTCTTTTAGTCAATTTATCTTTTGGAAACTGAAAAAAAAATCTGTCAAGTGTTGGTTAGGGGAGGGGATAGAGGTATATTTTGCTTTGCTTTTTAATTATTTTATTCTGTTGGGCACATTAGTCATCTTGTGGTACTAAGTGAGTTTCCCACCAATGAGGCTGAAATAACTCACATTTTTGATAAAACTCCAAAGTCCAGCTGATGCATGGCAAAGATTGTTTGGGTTTAAAACATATGGTGGTTAAAAAAAAAAGGAGTGAGTTCTCAACCACAAATGCATCAGCATTTCAAAGGTTTCTAAGATGTTTGATTCATCACTGTCCCAGCTCCTGAAATTACACAATCTGTTCCTCAAAGTCAAGATAATCACGAAAGGGGAAAAATTTTAATTTACAAGATTTAAAAATATGTTTCTTAATTCATTACACAGCTGCCACCTTATCTGAATTATACTTAAACACTATGGGTTCTGGTTATCCTCAAACACAAGCACATAACATTGCAAGTCTGAGTTGAATATAAAAAACATGCATGAATGAAGGATTTCATTTCATCTGGGTCCTATTTATAATGGTATTATACCTTATGAGGTCCTATTTTAAGCGGCAAGGCCTCCGTTTTACCTGTATTAAATAATTACGTAGCCTTATCTCCTTCCTACCTTGATCTTTTCAAGGCTTTGTTTTGGCTATATATATTGTATAAATGGGGGTAATCTGCTGACCGCAACTATAAACTTTAAGATTTAACTTTCTATATATCAGAAGACAACTGTGCCATGGGGTAAATCACTTAGCCTTTCTTTGTTTCCATTTCCCCACTTGACCAAGTAAGACTCTTTATTTTCTTTTTGGAAATTTTTTCCCCAAAGAATTCACTAAATAATGTATAAGATTTGAAGATGGTCTTTTTTAGGGAGGACTAAGGCAGAGTATTTCCTTTGAGAGGAGAAAATGGCCCATTGTTAAAGCATAGGATGAAATTCTGATTCTAATTTATTCTCTTTGAACCTAATGGTTAACGCTACTTTCTGTAAGATGTGGTCCTTAGGGCATTTCCTCTCACCAAACCTTTCCTCCAAAAGGCTGGTATCTTTTGGACCAAAAGAAAAATCCTTACCCCCTACCTAACAATCATAGATCCAAGGCTAAATTTTGGAATGTGGGAAAAGCAGTGGTCACCTACTAACATCCCTGGCAGTAGCTAACTGGCCGCCAGTTTGCAGGTAGTGTATTATGCTTTCCCACAATAGCCCAGTAGAATGAGCTTGCTACTTTCATTTTTTAAGTCTTAATGACTAACCACAACTTGGGTCCATCTGAGTTTTTAAGGGAATGTTCTGTCTCTTCCTGATTATACATTAATTTGCTCATTCTTTTATTCAAAAACATTTACTGAGTTCTCCTTTGTGCAAGGCATTGTGTTGGGCATACCAAGGTTGAATAAGACTCCAGAATGCTTTGAAAGAAAGCATTAATATATTTGTGTGTTTATATAATATATTTGTGTGCATGTATATATGGCAGGGATACAAGCAGTACTGACATGGAAGAAGAGTGTCAGACTATTGAGTCTCACAAATAAGTTCATGAGTCTCCTGTAAAATGCTAAAATTTCTCTTTAGACTTGGAATGGAATGTCATTTAATCTAACCCCCCAAAAATGATGTTCCAAGGTCACATAACTAGATAGTGAAAGAATGTAGATCAGAACCCTGGGTTTTGACTTCTGGATTTTTTTAATTTTTTGTGCCCTAATGCCTCCTAAACAGACAGATAGCTTTCATAGTTACCTATATTTCACAGCTCTTTTATTGCAATTCAAAGGGAGAATATAAACTTTGTATTTTGATGATAATTTTCTACTATTTATCTTCACATTGTTTACAAGCAAGCAGCAGTTTTATTTATAAGCTATACTATGACTTGATGGAGAAAAGTGAGAACTTCAGAGTTAGTAGAAAAAGAGGGTGACAAGGAAAATGCCTTTAACTGAGCCATCACATCCTGTTTAGACACCTTGACCTCTCCTGTCACACTGAGTCCCTGTAACAGCCTTTTGATGTCTGTGCTAGTCTCATTTTAATGATTGAATACAGATTAATGACCCAGCCCAAAGTTGTTGGTCTGGTCAAGTTCAACTCACCCTTTATTGTCACCTCTGCTTTTCTCCCCTTAGATACACACAGCGCACGGACCTCTTCTTCCAGGAGCTGAGTGTGGGACTTTCACATTCTTTAATGCTTATTGGCTCATCTGGTTTTTGCCCTAGGCAGTGATTTCTCTCTGGGTAGAGATTGTGTGCATCTCTCCCCTTTCTGTCTGTGGTGCAAAAAAAGGAAGGCCCTCATATTTTGAAGAGGTAGAGCTAGGACTCATACTCAGTTCTGGGTGTTTCAGGTAAACTGTCTATATAAAGTTCTCTGAGATCTTCTCTGAAAAGGCAACACAACAAGCAAAATATCAAACATTACCGTCTATTTTCATCTCTGAATAAGTAAGATATGAGGTCATTAGACATCTTGGGGAAGTTGGGAAACAGCTCAATCATGTGTCCACCCTTCTGTCCATTCTCTGGTTCTGTGGACTCCTCCTCCTGTATTGTTGGAAAGTGTCTTCTGGGCACAGCACTGATAGGTTTAGAGGCTGGAAGATAAGCCTGGTCAGGGGTAGAAGGCAGCAGTGAAGTGCCTTGCTCACCATTTCCCTTTACCCTTCAGCAAAGGCACAAGAGAAACCAAGGTTGGAGGGTGAATTACACACAAAGGCAAATACAAAAATGGCATTTGTGTACCCTTGATATTAACTCAGAGTGTGCATTTTTAATTCCTTTGAAATGTATGTTTCTTCAAAGATTTTCAAGGGGGTTGTAGTCACTCATCAAATAGATCAAAGTCATAAAATATATCAAGTGACCTATTTTTTCCCATTCTTATTTGCACTGCCTATCCAGTATCTCAGTGCTTGCACTGGCAAAATTTCTGGACATTTGTTAAATCCACGAGGTTTGTAGGATGCAGTTACCTGTCTTTGCAGTGAAAGAGGGAGCGAAGCTGTCAGGGCTGCCTCTACTTGTCTCACACTTTGCTTGTCTCTGCACAGTGGGATGGCTAAAGGATAGAAAGACAAACAGAAATTATATTTACTTTTGCAAAATACAATTTATTGAAGTCCAAAGTCTTAATATTATTTTACAAACTGGATGTAATGACCATTGACATAAGAGACAGGTTTTTAGAGCACCATACGCATCTTTATAATCCTGGAGCTAGTCAGGAAGACAATGCAGGTCTGTCTGTGTATGGTAGGGGGTTGGGTGGGGAGAGGGTCTGTGATCAACATCTCTACCCTCTCCAAAAAGACCAGGACTGATGAGAAGAAGAAAAGGACTGACTTACTGCACAGAAGCACAGAAGTCTGTGTGCATGCCAAATACTGGAGTAAGAAACATTTGGCGTCTGACTGGAAGACCCCAACCCACCATCTGATTTCTATGGCTGAACACTCTCAAGACCTTGCATGCCGACATTTCAGTTAAAAAATTATTCCCTGAAGTACAAATGGACTTCAATTTGAACAAAATTTAGCATTCAAATTTATAGTCACTTTGAAAATTGAAGGTTTACTTACATGAACTGAAGCAGATTCTATTTTTTCCCTCCCTCCCTCCCTCCCTCCCTCCCTCCCT